GAAGCTTCGAAGTACAATCGAATTTTCTATGATGACCTCGGCTGCTGTGTCATAAAAAAATTATATTTATGTCGGATATTTTATACCCAGGTTGACTCAGGGATGTGGTTCGGGTATAAACATGGGTTCAGACAAAATTTGGTTAACAGAAAGAAAGCAGCAAGATAAAGGTAGCAACGATTTATCCAAATAAATGATGGACATAAGACGATCGTAACAATAACAAAACAATTTAATTTGTAACTTGAGGGAAATAGATTTAAGAGTGGAGATAGTTTTGAGGTGTGATGGAATAAAATAAAATGTTTTTAAATTCAATGTTCAAGTGAATTAATGTTCACAAAGAAGAAAGTTACAGAGAGCGATACCTCAGACAGTTATTTTAATATTCAAGTGAATTTATGTTCAAATAAGAAAGAAAGATATAGAGGGCTATATCTCAGACATTTCAGGCAATATTCTACAAAAGAAGATTATTTTTTTAAATTAGTTTTCTGTCTGTTAGTTGCAATCCATCTTCTTCGTTTTGCCGAGCATCTTCTAACTGGTATTTTTTCATTCGCAGAGCGTTTTTAAGATTCTTTTTCTTTGTTGCCATGGAAATGAGCGTTTTTAAGACTATTTTTCTTGGTTGTCATGGATATTTTCGTCACAGTACGCACATATACTTTGTATTTATATTCATTGTTTGCAATGACGTATAGTTGCGTTCACACTAGCGGAAGTGTGAGTACGCACATATTCTTTGTATTTCTATTCATTGTTTGCAATGGCGTATAGGTACGTCCACATTGGTGTGCATGAGAATACCCAATTATTCTTTGTATTTGTATTCATTGTTTCCAATGACATATAGGTACGTCCACATTAGCGGACATGTGAGTATCAACCTATTATTTGTATTTACTGTTTTTTTCTTTAATTTTCAACTGTGTGTATTACAGCTATGAGCATGCGTATTCGAGAAGTTTCAACATAGAACATGTACTCTCCTCCACGAATTGAACCTTCGTCCCTCTCTGTGAGTAAAACCGCCGTTTGATCCGGTGTACTTTATCGCTCGTGTACGAAGAACCTTACAGGGTCTATTTTCCCGTTTAAGGAAAGTACACTGCCTCACTAGGATATTTTCCTCGAAAATCCATATCTGTTGAGTTTCTTATCGGGAACGCGCGCAAAAAAAACAATTCTAAAGAATTAATGGATTTAATATTAATTTGACATTTTCAATTAATTCAAACGTTATTATAGAGGTTACTCGTATTTAAAATAGACGAATATTTTCAGTGAAGCATACCTTTGTATTTCAATCTTTCCATATCATTCACAGCAGACAATAAAACTCAACTGACCGATGTCGAGACAGACAGGCTTAAAAAAACGGTTATTTTCGGAATTTACGAAAGCTCCATTTTTCTTTCATATAAATTAATTGAAATTGATATTTCCCTTTAAGCTATTTTGGATAACGGGGAAAAATGTACAAATTTTAGTCTTTCGCAAAAGCGAAGTGGCGTTAAGCGAAATTTCGTAAAATGGAGCATAACTGTATAAAGTTAATTTATCGTAAAACATGGTACAGCAATATTTCACTGTATATATGTATTGTAATCGTACAGAATGGAGGCACTTTTTGAGGGAGTCACTTTTATAAAGGTTGGATGCAATATCCTTGAGGAGGAATATCATGCCAAAGATCAGGCATGATATCCGAAGAGCACTCTCTAATTTGCCAACTAATATGCAGTCTTGGAAATGTGGTATATGTGAATGGATGCTGTTTACGAGGGAAGATTATGTAAACCTTCTGAAAGCTTGTCATAATAACCAGTAGCAAGCCAACCATGCCAAACATCCACATCGTCCTGCCAACAATACCTGTATTGTTTTTGACAAGGTTTGCAGATCATCGTCTAGACTGAGAAGGTCGATGGGATTACCCAGGAAAACTGTAGATTAAATCAACCCAATCAAGGATACAGAATTTATATTATATATATGCATGATACCTATAAAATCGAATGCTGGTTTAAAAAGATATCTTAGGGGCCACGGGCGCTGAAACGAGACGGAAGCCATTACAATTGATGCGAAGGGTAAGGGTGTGTGGAAACACTTATGGGACGTGGCGGCGAGGTCCATTCCCACGCACCTAGAATATCAAGGAAGTGTCGATAGCTATTGAGACAATAGAACTCTATATCTTTCCAAAGGTCTTCTGACCACTTGCGAAATCGATACCACATCGATTTCGCCGGGAGTCACAAACACAATACTCGATACATATACAATACTGGCTAACCTATAACCTTTTGCACGTCAGTGTACGGTTTCTATAATGAGTTCAATTCTAATTAGATAATTCATTATAACGGCTTCGTGAGGGACTAATTAAAATTTAATCATTATCTACGTTGTGATACTGGTATTTACACATTTACACACGTTGAAACAAATCAATATAAATAAGGTATATTTAGACAGAAAGAATTTATCCCAAGAAGTTTCAACCGACAATGTATGTTAATTTAATTTTTTATTGCATTTTTCCAGTTTTCAAGTAAGATATCGGAATCGAAATTATGAATAAACTGTTTAAAGTTCATGTTTTTCTCGATTTCATATGACACAGTGTTATGTGGGAATAGTGTCGCTGCCGACACTTGAGATTGAACCATAGAGGAAATGTATATATGGGAATTAGCTTAGCGTCTAATTGATCGTCATTTCTATTCTATCCTCTATTATTATACTGATCACTATTCTATCCTCTATTACTATACGGGTCACTATTTCCATTCTGTCCTCTATTACTATACGGATCACTATTTCTATTCTCTCCTCTATTACTATACGGATCGCTATTTCTATTCTATGATCTATTACTATACGGGTCGCCATTTCTATTCTATCCTCTATTACTATACGGATTACTATTCTCTATACTATTTCTTTATACTGATCACTATGCGGATTACTATTCGAGAGAGTATTATCGAGCAGGTACTTTTGGTGGGAGTGTCATTCGAAGGCGTCTGATTAGCATTGTTCAACGTCTTCAATATATTTGTATCTGCGATTACAAAGTCTCTACTACAACGAGCAATACGAAAGTGACAACGAGTGTTCGTTGACATCACAAAGCAAAGTCCCGGTCCCTCTTGTCTTGAAGTCCGAACGCTACGTTCGCTTATTCAAACTTGCTATTGTGTGTCAACCCCAATTCTTATTTTGTCAACTTTTTGTCATATTACTGTTGCTTTACCTAATTATTGTTAATTTGTCCTGTATATATAATTGTTTGCTTGCTGTATGTTATTTTTCTGCCTTGTTCTTTTCTTTTCTTTTTTTTTGTTATTTCTTATTGCAAATTGTCAAATCTGTTTGTTAAATAGTTCTATTATTTATTTTATATTTAACTATGGCCACACATTCTACATTCATTAAAAGGCCAACTCAACCCTACTGGCTTTTGATGCTCTCTGTGGCTAAACAGTGTAAAGTACGTTGGATCAAATAGTTGTTTATCCTAAAAAAGGGATGCAGTTTTGAACCCTTCCGGAGAGAACGTTCTCTTTATTAAATCTCCTGAATGCATAACATGTTAGATGTAATTCGCACCATTTAGAAAAACAGGGCGTCAACGCAAGCATGTGTAACAACAAAATAATGTTTGAAATAGTAGGAAAAAACTGTCACATAATAAAAAATAATCCATCGATTTCGTAGAAATTATTCTACATTTTGGATACGAAAAAAATCTGCAGATATGGTATTTCGAGAACGAGAGGACGTGATTCTTTAAAAACGTAATTAAACATTTCTGGGCTCTGGCCATATCCGTGCCTGAGCGTTCTAAAATACATCAGCTCAAATGTTGGTAACTCCTACAAAGGCGACGCTTTTTCAAACCTTGTCGGAGAGCACATTTTTTGTTAAGTCTCTCGATTATACAAGCCCTTAGACGTAGTTCGTACTGTTTAAACAATAGGGCGTCTATTCAAATAAGTGTACTCAGAAAATAAAGTTTGGAGCAGGAGGAAACACTTTTGTATCCTAATGTAAACAAAGCAATTTCTAAAGAAGTAATGGATTTTTATTACTTAAACATTATTATTAGTGAATTCCCATATTTCAGTAGATGCCCTGTTTATTTATTAAACAGTGTATTTATTTTCGTCTACCGGCTTGATTATTCGAGAAATCTTATTTAAAAAAATACTCTCTCCGGCAAGATTCGAACCTGCGTCCCACTTGGCAGGCGAAACCATCATTAGATCCGACTCGATTTAGACTGAGTATGGCCCAAATCTTTTTTGTTCTCTTTTTTTTATTTGTGAATAAAGCAAACGTTTCTTTATTTCTTATACATAGAGAGTACCGTAGATTTATTGGGCTAAACCACTTCCAAAATCTAATCAAGCAGGATATTTATTTATTTATTTATTTTTTATCTTTTAAGGGCTTCTTGGTTGACCGAGAATATTTCAGTGTTTTGTTGTATGTAAACTTCTAGAGTATTCGACCACATCTAAATCTATTTTTCTACAATGTCCGAAGGTGGCCGTTCCGGTGTACGCAGGTGTTTCAAAGATGTGGTGGCCCTGATTACGAATTTACCAGCTCATTAGTAAAACTCACGAGACTAATAAGTCTAAGCTGTGTTTTACTGAAACTTTTTCAAAACATAGGCCGTCACTAACTGCCCCCCACTCACCAATGATGAAGATTTGTTACTGGGCGACTCGTGCTTTGGTAATTTAATCACAAACGTCTTGCTTCAGAGAGGCAATGTGTTTGGTGCCCTGCCTTTCGGCAAGATGCTGAAGCAGTAAGAAAGCGAGGGACAAAAAGTGGGGAAAGAGAAGGACAAAAGAAGAAAAAAGGTGGAAATAAGTTAAAATGAGAGAAAAAAGATATTCAGAGATGCGGAAGAATTAAGATGAGATTTGTAAAAGGAAAGAAAAGAAAGCGAACAAAGTAAAGCAGAACTAAAGTGTATGGGTAAAGAGAAGCCAAAAAATACAAGGGGAGTACGAGAAACGAAAGTGATTTCTTTCTTTCTTTCTTTCTTTCTTTCTTTCTTTCTATCTATCTATCTATCACAGTCTGTTTTGTATCTATCTCAGTTATTTATATCTATCTATCTATCTATCTATCTATCTATCTATCTATCTATTTCATCTGTTTATATCTATCTCAGTTTATATCTATTTATCTATCTATTTATCTATCTATCTCTGTTTATATTTGTTTGTTTCTATCTATCTATCTATCTATCTATCTATCTATCTATCTATCTATCTATCTATCTCAGTCTGGTCTTGTTTGTTGTACGGCATATCAATCTCGATAGATTATTTAATGCCGACAAGATTTTGATTGCTTTTTTTTTTCCAAAAATGTATTGCTAGTAATATTTTTTTCAAAAATGTATTGTTGATAGTAATGTATTGCTGGTAATAATTTTTCTTCAAAAAATTATTGCTGGTAATAATTTTTTAGAAAGTATTTCTGGTTTTAAAACCTATTTTTATACTTTCATAGTGTTTTAACCCAAGTTTGGTGGTTAACTATTTACCCATAGCTGGGACCCTAACAGGTGCTACCACCATGTGTCAGGGTGGACATGAGAACACCAGTAATAAGGAGGTGGTTCCATGCTCCTCAAAACCTCCTGATCAGAGGCATTGCTGCTGGACGTAGCTTATCGTCTTACACAGGACGCGGATGTAGTTTATCATCATACCCATGACGTATCTCAGTCTGCTTCTATCTATCTATCTATCTATCTATCTATCTATCTATCTATCTATCTATGTACACACATATACAAACATCATTTCACCTCAAGTAAGGTAATAAAGCCACTAAGACGCATGTGACGACTGAGAGTGAAAGATAACGAGAAGAGATTAGTGACTAGAAAAGAACTGGTTTCAGGATGACAGAAGATGGCGACTGATATTTGCATTTGAAGATGGTAATTGACAGGAAAAAACATAAAACCCGGAAGAAGGTGAGAAGTGCGAGATAAGAATTAAGATAGAATTTACGTTTACATCTAGCTATTTCAACAGTAAAACGATGAGGCCTGGTTGTCTGTCAAGTACTACGCTTAAATCATGAAGTCGGGGTACCAAAGAGGAAAGTTCATTAGAACAATTGCCATGAATATATATATATATATATATATATATATATGAACAGACAAAAACCATATGAGAGTGGCGGGAAAATGACAGAAGCTGTGATACCAGATCCGAACCCTTCTTTGTACGGGGCAAGCAGATTAGATATAGCAGCAGTATTCAATACATTAACTAATGATGGATTTATAATTGTGATAGATAGGTTCTGGCGGGAAAAATTGTCTTGCGCGACACAGAGAACCAATTTTCTTAGTATCACGAAGAATTCGTAGCAGTTAACCGATGTTTTTTTTTTAATTTTTTGCATAAGCTTATATTTATATAATAAATGTATCATGCAGGTAACATCTTATCATATCTATTATTATTATTATTATTATTATTATTATTATTAACAATTATTTTGGGTGTGAGCTTTTATTATAAAACACGGTGATTGTTCGCCATATTGTAAATGAATATAAGTAATTATATAATATTTTTGATATCTATATGTTTCTTCTGTGACTTTTCACGAGGTTGGCGATCATGATTCTCCATAATTTCTTTTCCCCTGTAGCTCTTAATAAATTTTATCATTTTGTTGTTTCTCTTAAGCCTTTTTCCACCATTCATTTACTTAAGCTCAATAAGTATGTTATGCATTGTTTTCCCCTTACTATCTTGTCTTCAGTCTATCCTGTGAGTATCAAATTTTCCAAGTTCACTTTCCTCATTATGAGCCCTAGATATTTCAACTGTCTCTTTCTGATGCTAAGTATATATTTTCATTTTTGTTTCCATTTACTTAAAAACTCTAAATGTTCGTGTCCACAGTATCCTCAACATCCTTCTGTAGAACAATATTTGTGTTGCGTTAAGTCTCTTCTTCATCTTTGTGGACATTGTCTGACATTCACTGCCATATAGAAGAGATATTCTGTAACAGTTCAGTACCGTTTTCTTTGTTTCTAACGAAATTCTTCTGTTTGCGAATACTCTGCACAGCTTTTGGAATGCCTTTTTGGCTATCCTAATGCACCTTCAGACTTCAGTGTCACACATTCCATCCTTTGTTAAAGCACTTCCCAGATATTTATATTCTTGTACTTGTTCAATTTCGGTAACTCCAATTTGCAATTCAGGCTCGCCCTTTTGCTAACAACCATACATTCTGTCTTCTTGCAGTTGAGGTTTAGTTTTTTTCTTTTCGCTTTCCTTCAGTATCTTCTGTAAGAATTTTTGTATTATGTAAATTATGATATACAAAAGATTATCATATATCGTAATAAAGATTTAAATTTATGGGAAGACAACGAAAATTGCGACGAAGTTGAATAGAGATCACAAAACAATCACAGTAGTAACGGAAAGCCTTTCACAATATGGCTTTATTTTCTCTAGATTTTTTATCGGTTATTATTGAATTTGTCTATGAGGCGTTAGATAAGAATGGGTGTGGCTTTAGATTCCTCGAAGGCGTTTAACAAGGTTTGGTATGCTGGTATTCTCCACAAGCTCAAGGTCTATGATGTCTCTGGACGAATATTTGGTTTAATCCAATCGTTCTTAACAAAATGAAGGTCGTGTTGAACGGACAGGCATCTAAATCATTTCACACTAATGCATTGACCCCCCTGGGCTCTATTCTTATATCTACGTTGTTTCATATCGTCATCAACGACCTTCTCGATGTCATCAATTCTCAGCGACGTATTTAGGCTGATGACACAACTATTTACTCTTGTCTTAATAGTAATTTCGTTAGGCCCGACAAAGTAAAACGGGTAAAAATTACCACCAATCAGTTGTTAACTGGGGCAAGATATGTCTTGTAAATTTTAACGCCTCCAAAATAAAAAAAAGAATCTTGCTATCTTTTAATTATCATAGAGATCCATTGGCCGTTGGCTAAACTCTAAGAGGGAAACTCATTGCGTCTTCTTAGTCTCACGTTTTCCACTGACATGAAGTAGAGTGATTATATTTATTCCGTTGCTAGGTTAGTTGCTGGGGAATTTTCTTCGTATCACGAATTCAGTCACTTTCACACAACCGTGACGGGATTTCTATCTGTATTTCTCTAATTATTTTGATGGCACTTTTTTTTTAATGAGCTTTCGTCTTTGGTACCTCAACCACATGAATTTAAGCGTACAACTAGTTTGGCTGCTAGGTCTCATTGTTTTACTGTTGAAATCGCTAGATGTACTCATAAGTTCTACTCATAGTTTCTTTTCTCGCCTGTGGAACTCTCTTCCAGTTTCATATTTTCCTGCCACCTACGATCTTCAAAAATTTAAATGCAACGTCAGTCGCTATCTTCTGCTCTCCTGAAACCTGTTTCTTTTTATTGTCTTTTCTCTTCACTAAACATTTCTCACTATTTTTCACTTTCATTAATCATTTCGTCTTAGTGGTTTTATTGCCTTACTTGAGGTGAAATGATAAAACATGGCTTGTACTTTACTTCCTAACAAATGGATCTAGCTACACTTTTTTTAGGAGGGCGTTCTTTTTAATAACGATTAGTCGTGTGGACATGTTTCTTTTGTTTTCGAATGATGGCGCTTATCATACTAATAAAAATGTTGGGCTCGTTGAAGTTTTTGGGATATCCCATTCGACGCCTATGATGGTCAATTATCACATATCTAATTTCATAAGATAGAACCTTTGTTTTTGTCTTTGTCAAAAAGCCTTCACTGATACCCGCCTGATCTGCAACCATTTTTACAAAGTTCATTTTTTCCGGCAAGTTTTGAACCTACGTCCCCCTGATCAGGGGAAACCTTCGTTAGATCTGAGGTGCTTTAGAGTGTCAATGTCATAAAATGCGTTGACGATCAAGAAAAGTTGAATAGTGTCTTATAAATGCAGATCTTCCTCAGACTCTCGAAACATTCATATTGTCTCACTTTCGTATCCTAACGTAAACAATGTAATTTCTAAAGAAGTAATGGATTTTTATTAGTTAAACATTATTATTAGTAGAATCCCATATTTCAGTAGACACACTGTTTATTTATTAAACAGTATATTTATTTTCATCTACCGACCTGAATATTCGAGAAATCTTATTTTAAAAATATACTCTCTCCGGCAAGATTCGAACCTGCCTCCCACTTGGCATGCGAAACCGTCATTAGATCCGATGTGATTTAGACTGAGTATAGCCCAAATCTTTTGCTATTTTTTTATTTGTGAATAAATATATGTGCAAGCAAACGATTCTTTATTTCTTATACATAGCATATCTGAAGTATTTACTATAATTAGCTAAACCTTTAGATTTGTAGCGATAATAAATTGATTACTTTCTTTAAAAATTAAGAAAAAATCTTTCTTTAAAATCAATTCTGCATGGCAACTGTCGCAATCAAGCCTTAAGTGATCAACAAACTGTGTTACTACTCTTTGTGTGGGCTGTATATGTAAGTTACTGGAGGCTTATGGGAAGCTAGAAAACCGGTTTTAGAAAAAATGAAAACAAAAAGGATATTTATACATAACATCAGGAAGCGAAAATTGAAATTTCTAGGTCAAATATTGCGGATAGAAGGTTTGGAAAATTTGGTACTCACAGGAGAGATTAAAAGCAAGATTGGCAGAGGGAAGAAACGCATAACCTACCTAGCAAGCTAGAGTAAATGGGTGGCGTAGTATGGTTTAGGAGAGATAAAAAGACAAAATTTATTAAGAGCTGCAAAGGACAGAAAATTGTGGAGAGCCGTGATCGCCAACGCCTTGATTGGCCACGGTACATATAAGTCGCTATGTTTTAGATTATATGTAGTGCTAACTTTCAGTATTTTTCTTTTAATTATTTCTTTTTATTCAAATTATTTATTATATTAATTTATTTATTCTGTTTTTGTATATTTTATTTGGTTCTAAATTTTGGTATTTGGAATAAATTTTATTAGATTTATCTCATGAGCTAGTTTTTATTCTTTTGTTTCGTGATGTGGTTGTAGGAATTTGTTTTCATGCCTACATTTGCAAATAATTTTATCTTCTATTTCAGCATCTATATTGTTCTGTAAAGATGATTATTATTTTCACCTATAGGAATTAAAAAAAATTCTTTTTAATCCTTTCATGCCAAGCAAGACAATAAAGCCACCAAGTCAAAGTAGTTAATAGAATGAGAAATGCTGATTTTCTGGTTGGTGTCTTTGAGATCCCATACGTATTTTGAGAGTGTTGTGCTATTTGCATATTTTTTGTTGTTGAATAATGTTTTGTGCGAATAGCTTCTCTGGTTTCAGGGCCCATTTGTTATTCCTATATATCTTTCTGGAACTTACAGGTAGTCAGCGTCTATTACATCAGGTTTTTCGACTGTCAGGTTGCGTGTTGTTTTTGAGACCCGTCCGCTGTTCCCCTCTTATGTCAAAGACGGTCTGTCTTACTTACAAAATAGGTCTGTAGTTTAAATGTCAGTGCGATGCTGAATACGTAAGACGGACCAATCAGAGAATAGAGGCCCGAATTGATCAACATGTTCCTGCTACTATCAGACCAGGTAATCTCAGTTACTCTTCCAGGACAACACAGTCTGGACATGACTCAGCGATAGGTCAGCACCTGTTAGGCAACCCTGACTGTACTCATAAATATAAGGACGTTTTTTTCCCTTTCTAAACAGATCCCGACCAACTCATCAATTAAAGATTTTCGAAGCGGTTTATATTAAGAAGCACAAATCAAGCCTGTGTAAGCAAAAAGAGTATTTTATTCGCTCTTTATGTTTAGTTGGAGGGAGAGAGTAACATTTTTAGTACTTACATTGAACATTTACGTTTTTATTCGTGAATTATTTTAGTAATATATTGTTTTAGTCGTGTTCCGAAATTTCCCCTCCTCATGCTTTGCTTTTTGTGAATATCGTTTTTTGTCTCGTTCCATTTGTACGAACACTTTCCTTCTGAGGAAGTGTTGGTTGAAAGAATTCTAAAGGAAAATAAGGTAAATGTCTACTTGCCTTTCCATGTCAATATATATATATATATATAAATAAAAAGACTCCAAAATTCGCTTGAGGATGAAATGGAACTAATGTCTTTAATTGAATTACAAAATTAAATTCGGAGCTTTCAGCTTCCATTTTTGAAACATGGTTAGAACTGTGTAGCGAAAAAAAAATTTTAAATCAATTATTCCACACTAAAATACTAACATTTTCACTAACACACAAATATATATATATATATATATATATATATATATATATATATATATATATTATATTATGAAATGGGCAAAAGTCCGACAATTATTTTAAGACATTTTTATGTTTATACATTCTTTTATAGATACAAATATTTAAGTAAATGCTCTGTTTATAATAAAATGTATTAAACAACATTTACCGGCCTGTTTAATACTGTTTGTTATAAACAGAGCATTTACTTAAATATTTGTATGTATAAAAAAATGTATAAACATAAAATGTCTTAAAATAATTGTCGGACTTTGTCCATTATATAATATATATATATATATATATATATATATATGTGTGTGTGTGTGTGTGTGTGTTAGTGAAAATGTTAGTGCTTTAGTGTGGAATATTGGTTGCTAAGTATGATCCTTAGTAAGTACTACACACTTGGAACCTTGGGCCATTAACTTAACAAAATATATCAAGAAAGGTTTTTACCAGCAAGAAAATAAAGAAACAGTAGAAATCATCTGAAATAGAGATAGAAAGATATCGGTTTCAGTAAAGGTCAGTCAAGGGATCAATGGACATGTCGTTATGTGCACATTGAAAAAAAATCCCAGAAAATCTAACGGCTAAAGAAGAGTGAAAAGAAGAAAGAAAAAACATCAACTGAAAATTGCCATTTAAAAACAAGAATCAAAACCTGTAATTTTTATCACATTACATAAGAGAGTCGCGTGTCACTTTTCTTTGTATCTTTGATGACTACAAACGCCTTTTACAACCGAATGAAAGACTCAGGTTTTGAATTGAATCACGGGCCTCAATTGCTCAATTAGAGACCCATGTCTTGTGCTCGACTGGTCAAATGACAATCAGGAAAATAAGATCCAGTTGGGTTATTTATCGAAGCTCTTTAAAATGTACTTTAAATAGAAATGATCATCCAAAATTTGGGTGGTTGAGAAAGAGTGTAGCTAATAACTGCATTAAAGTGGCCTATTATATGAGTTATTAATTGTTAACATGCTTTTTAGAGGATTTTTTTGTGTTTTTGGTTTCGAGTTTGATTCCATTTTTCTTGTCATGCGCACGTTTCTGTTTGCGTTATATGAGTTCATATTAACATTTAAAGCAGTGATTTTCAAGTGAGCCGCTAAATACATCAAAAATAAGTGAGAAAGACTACGCTCAAGTGAAGGAGAAATGAGGGTCTGCTTATCGCACATTCGACCAAACATTGAAGAAATCACAAAAAAATAATAATAAAACAAACAAACCACCAGACACAGGATTCAAACTAAATAAGATTCACACTAAATAAGATTCACAAATAGCTGAATAGAAGCATTGAAAGTTCATACTTGTGTGCGTATTTTGAAAAAAATCTATGGTTTTATTTCATAACATTTAAATGTAATAGCATGAAAAGAATTTGCTATGTGTGCCGTTATATTTCCATTTGCTTTCAGGTGTGCATTTGCTTAAAATGGTTGAGAAACACTGATTTAAAGATATGACTTAGGATATACAAGTACATGCACTTGCGTTTTTGATGGGTTATGTGTGAAGATGAAAACAGACTCATGCCCATATATGTAAACATAAACACACGCACATACGCACACACAGGCATATATATATATATATATATATATATATATATATATATATATATATCAAGCCGTGAATTCGCAGCCTGACGATTGCGTCCAGCATGAAACAGCCTGTCGACTCTGTGTTGACTTCAATGTTCACTTTTATATATATATATATATGTGTGTGTGTGTGTGTGTGTGTGTGTGTGTGTGCGTGTGTGTGTGCGTGTGTGTCTGTTTCGATTGTTGACGCTTCTGCCTGATTTTCCTCAGATGTCTGTCGATCAGAATAACCTTCAGGGAATATGAACTGAAACCCTTGTTTAATCTTGGGATATTTCGTCTTGTTCTTTTTTTTTTAGTACTACTCAGATTTTGCTTAGCCTGTTTCCACTAAGTTCAGCTTTGTATTACCAGGCCCAGGGATTGAGCTCACAATTACTTTATCAAATTCACCAGTCTATTATCTCAGGATATCGATATAACTGTTTTTGCATACGGGCACACACATGCAGTCGGACACCGGCGTTTTTCAAGCGGACACGCTGAGATAAAGCACAATGTATCCATTTTTGTTACTCTTTTCGTAAAAGAAAAGTATATCTCCATATGTTCCGAGTCTGACTTCCTCTCTCTTCCTCTCCCAGTATTTCAAACGATTTTTCCAGCTTTCGTTTTTTCACTCTTTCTCTGTCTCTCTTAGTGTTTGAACTCAGTCTCTCCTGATCACTGAGTACATCATTTAAATACTCGACAATTTGAATGAGTCTTTCTTACAGGACAGATTGCCCGTATATAACTTTATACAGACATCAAAGGCCCTGGTCATCATCAATTCGCGCACTTCTCTGTTGTCATCGGATTTGTCGCTTCTTAGAAGTTTTCCCATTTCTTTTTTTTCTTTTTAAAGAAGAATCCGTTTTCTACCTTTTTTTTCTCGCTTACTCCTGCACGTTTTAAATCAGTAATTCAAGTAGAACAACATTTTATGATTAAGCAAGAAATAGGGGATCGAGAAATAAGCACGAAAGTAGCTGAACAAATTCTAAGAGAAGAAAGATAACAATTAAGAAGGATTCTAGAAACAAAAAAGGCTATTGACGTCAAAAAATATGAAGATGAAGGAAAAGATTGATTGATTTCATTTTTTACGGCTTATCAACCTTTAGCAGGTTATTCAAAACCATAAATATACATTTAGATTGTAAGAATATTTTTGGAGATAATGTTTTTTTTACAATGATGTTCACTCTGTACAAGTCCAAAGAGCCAGACAAGGTAGAGGGTTACAGAGTAACAGGCACAGTTTATGGGGATATGTGGGAAAGATAACGGCAAGGTAGCCAGGTGTGCCCCAAGTCCACGTAAGAAGAAGGCCGGAGCGTACAACGGCCGAAATATTGTGAATATGGCAATAATTATAAGGACAATAGTCCTAACAATGTAAATAAAATAAATAGTTACAATACCTTATTCCATATATAGAGACGAATCCTTTCCTTTCTGTCATCTCCAAGAGATTTAACTCAGTCTATTTATGAAGAATTTGCTATTTTTATAGAGGCTGATAATAGCCTGTATAAAAAAAAAGCAAATTCTTCATAAACCATTTAAGTGAAAACTGTATAACTCATCTTCTTTTGGAATGCTAAACTAAAATTTCATATTTTCAAATTTCATTCTTTATTAAAATTTAAAATGCGCCCTGCAGTTTTAGTTATTCTTCAAGTGCAACCAACAGTATAAAAAAAAAGTTTGAGAAACTCTGCGTTAGTGGAAAACAGTCCAAGTCAAAGTACTGGGGAATTAAATACATCACAATCCACCATATGTTGACACATTAAAAAAAATACCCTAGGTAAAGCCATATTGCCACTAAGACGCAAGGGGTTACTGAGTGAGCGAATATAAGAAAAAACACTGTTAATGATGGAGTAACAAAAAAAGATGAATTAAAAAGAGAGAAGATGACGATTGACATTGCATTTAAATTTTTAAAGATCAAAGTTGACTGGAAAGCAAGAAGCCACAAGTGAAAAGTGCGAGAGAATAACCTGTTAACATAGAACTTACGGTTACAAGTAGCCATTTCATCTGTAAACTGATGCGATATTGCCGCCAATCTACTACCGTGCCTAAATTTATAAAGTCTATGTACCATAGAGGAAAGTTAATCAGAACAATTACCATGAAAAATATATATAGAGAAAAAGCATATGAATCTACGTTACGCTGGTTGGAAAGTGACTAAAAGAGAGATGCCAGGTCAGGGCCAATGGCATTGTAGATTCTTCTTTGGATTTTATCAAGATTCTCTAAATGTGTGGCAGAAGCATCAAACCAGATGCGTTAGCAATATTCGATTCAGGGACGAATGGTAGAATAATAGTATAAATGTGGAAGATAGATTCTGGAGAGAAAAATTATCTAGCACGGTACAGTGAACAAACTTTCCTCGTAGCGGAACTACAATTTATTCAATATATTTCCACGTCATAACAGCGGAAAATTCTAATTTTAGAAACCTCTTTGCTAGAGGTTAGCATTAGCCGTGCTGATGGGAAGCAAAAAGAGTTCTCTGAGACGATTAAAAGAGAGCAGTTTTGTTTTGGAGGCTCTAAAATTAACAAGCCATTCCTTGCTCCAGTTAAGAACAGATTTGTAGTCAATTTTAGATTAGCTGCTAATTTGACATTATCGGACCGATCCGGCTTACTATTAAAACAGGAGTAAATAAGTGTTTCATCAGCATAGCTACAGAGTTGAGAACTGATGACATCAGGAAGGTCGTTGAAGAACATTAGGAACAACATATGTTCAAAATAGTGTCCTTTGGAACAACTGCATTAATGCCAAAAGATCTAGAAGAATGGCCATTCAAGACAATGTTCATTTCGCGATTTGATAATAAAAACTGAATCAGTTCAAAAGTTGGACTAGGAGTACCATAACCTTTCAACTTGTGAAGAAGACCAGTACTGCAAAATGGGTGCAAAATTAATTTCAACTCGGAACTAATTTCAACTCGGAACTAATTTCAACTCGGAATTAAAAAAAGAACAACAGCTAAACAATCTACTGTTCTTGCTACAAAGAACATTGCATTTTTATTGTATCAGATTTAAAGGAATGAAGGTAAATAAAAAAAAAGGACAACTTTATTCATTTGCAACAAAAAAATAACGAAAGTTGGAAAATTCTGAATTATCTACTAAGGGTTTTTAATGCTAAATTATAAAATTCATTGAAAACTTAATGATAACATCATTATCAACTATAAACACACGCCTAATTATTTACATTACATCGCCATCTTTCTTTGAATCCATTCTTAAAGAGTCTAACTTATATATCTAATACAAATAATACATTCTTAATGAGGTCAGTCATAAATTACGACCTTGTGACACCCCGTCGTGCGGGTTAACCGGAGAAAGGGCAAGATAGAATTCCCACTAGACAGACATACATACACAATTAGAAATACACATTACCATCCGATGCCCACTTAGACATACATGAAGCATATATATGAAGAATAAATAGGAAACGTATATCAATTTAATGTTTCACTTTTATTAAAGCTTTGCCAGAGATTGAGAGAGAACAGACAAAAAGATAGATACAGTGGTAGTTTCAAGTATGTTTGGGTCAGTTCTCATTGGTCAGACACGTGTCACATGTCTTAAAACCGTAGATAATTCTATGTGCATGTAGGTTTGTGAAGATTATTGAATTGGTGTTGGGTCTATTTTTCTTCCTAATTACCTCTCCAATTGTCTCGGAGGTGGTAGTAATGATCCCAGTATTAGGGATGACTAATTCATTTGCGAGTTTAGTAGAAACAGTGTTGGAGGCAGGATTACGAATTTTGTGTAATTTTTGTTAGAAATGCTATTGGAGGTCTTTTTTTTTTTTTTTTTTTTTAAGTTTTCGCAATATATTTCCCTTCTTCATTTAGGAATTCCGGGCTACATATCCTGAAAGAACTGAGGTAGAATCCTATGACTAATCCAGATTTTATTTTTTGGTTGTGCTGGGAATAGAAATTGCTTGTTCGTGAGTTTACGATACGCTTTAAAATCTAGTTTCTCATCGTTGCAACTTAATAACAAGTCAAGGAAAGGTAGAGAATTGTTCCTCTGAGAATTCATTGTTAGGTTCAACCTTATTAAGTTTCATTATTATGTCTAATAGGTTTGAATCTTGTAGATATAACAAGAGGATGTCATCTATATACCTTAGATAAGTAGATCTATTTGTTTTTGATATATCTAAATGGACCAGATTGAAAGAATTCTAGAAAAGTCACTGATAGGGGAACCCAGAGGTAAGCTGAATTTCTGTTTGTAGAGAATATTGTTGAAAGAACCGAAACAGTGGTTAGTGATTAGTTTTCATATTTTTATAATTTTGTGGACGGATAGGCGAAGCTTTTCTTTGGACTTTTTGAGGTGGTTTTTCAAAATGCTGAGGCATTTCGTGATGGGTATGTTGGTATATAATAATAAAACATATGATGAATAGTTTAACGTCATACCCAGGACGAAGGAAATATATATATATATATATATATATATATATATATGTATATATATTGACAATAGTGGTTAATGTACACACACACACACACACACACACACACACACACACATATATATATATATAAAAAATACATAAATACATACATATAAATACATACATATACAAATATATATATAAAAATTCCAAGATGATGAATTGGATTGTATTTAGGATTCCAATGTAATAAATTATAACCATGGAATATTAGTGTTTAAGCCTTTTTTATTATTATATATATATATATATATATATATATATATATATATATATATATATATATATGTATATATTGATAATAGTGGTTAATGTACACACACACACACACACACACACATATATATATATATATATATATATATATATATATATAAAATACATAAATACATACATATAAATACATACATATACAAATATATATATAAAAATTCCAAGATGATAGAATCCAGGTAGAACTCAATATCCAGGACAGAGTAAAAATTTGTAGGTCTGATGAATTGATTGTATTTAGGATTCCAATGTAATAAATTATAACCATGGAATATTAGTGTTTAAGCCTTTTTATTATATATATATATATATATATATATATATATATATATATATATATATATATATGAACGTTTCATTGAATATGACAAATAAAGTGCTTTGATTTAGTTTTTCATACAATTTCTCATGTGATCTTATAATTTGTTTTTTTTTTGGTAGATAAATTATATAAAAACTGTTCAATTGTTCTTTTTTTTTCGAGCGCTTTCGGCTATACATTTAGCCATTTTCATGGTTGAAATATATTAACTGTTAACAGCAAACAGATTGTTGAAAACCCAGGCCGGCAGACCACAATTATACTGTTTAAAAAACGGAGACACTTGCATCTAAATATAATATTTAGTAATAAGAAATAATGTCAGATTATAAATAAAAATCCATTAATTCCTTAAATATATACATGTATATGCATGCTTAAATATACAACCCTCAAAGGAGGCAAACTTTCGGAGAATATAAGGAATGCAGCATTGTCCTCGTCTTTGTAACAGTTGACTTTTACGGCTCAGCCGTTTGAAAGACTACCACCCTTGGACATGTTTCCAGAAGAAAATGCGGTGCAAATCCGAGTCTCTCTGAATTCTTTATTTTACTAATGGTGGAGTGATGGTCTGAGTAGTTGAGAAAATCAACTGAAATTAAGATGAAAGAAATACCAGTAAAATATCATTAATAGTTGGTAATGCTCCAAGATCAATGATGTCATATTTATAGAAGCGTTAGATCAGGACTGACTCAAGCCGTTTTATTTCCGCTCGCAATAATATTTTTTCTTCGTTAAGTTGTAACTTAGAGAAAACAAAGGAAATGTGAAGGACAATAGTGCCAAATAAGGCAATAAAAAAAGAGAGAAAGAAGCTAACTTATTGTCAATTTCATTAGCAGAAGTGGTAAAAGAAAACCTTGTCTTAGCAAAAATATTATCCGGGTAGCTTTTATGGTCGCTATTTCTTTAAAGAAAAGAAACCTCTTCTTGTATAGGGTCATCCTTCCACTCCAAACAACGTTTGAAGTAAAAACATCAGCGCTAGCGAAAGATGACCAGTATCTAAGCAATTCTTTCGGGCCCCAACACCCTTTTCCCTTACATCGTGAACCTTAGAATCACACCTCAACATAGATTTTCACACAGGAGAAAAATGCTCCCCGCCGTTTCTACTCGGGACACCATTACATTTTAAATGAGGACTGTTACGAGCAACCGATCATAAAAGCAATACAAGCTCTCTCGCTAGGCAAGGGGCCATATTGGCATATTTAGAAGTGCAGGCACAGCTTCACTGCGTATGCGACTTGTCTCTTGCAAAACGGTTTTAATGTATTCTCAAACGTATCACCTTCGGATCGCGCTGAAATTTATGACCCACCAAAATCACACACTGTTTTCAGTTGGGACAGTGGGAATCGGTTCATAGGAGTCTCTGGCTGGAAAGCAAGAGGAGAAAAGATGACGGACAGAATTGCTAGAAAAAAAAAACTGAAAGACATGGGAGTGAATGAGAAGAGGCTAAAATATAAGAGTAACGAAAGAATAAATAAAAGTAGCTTATATCAGTGACTTTAAAATATGTGTGTGTTGAAACATTTTTTACGAAAAAGACAAAGAGTTAGTAAAAGGAAAAGAAAAAGTAAAAAAAAACAAAGAAAGAAAAGCAAAAAACGAAAAGAAAGAAAGAAAGAACAGAGATAAAGAAAAAATTAAGAAAAAGTAGAATTGAAAAGAAGAAACATAATAGCATTTATAGAGAAGGAATAAAGAAAGAAAAGAAGAAAAATAAAGAAGAAAAAAAACGAGCATATAATAAAACTTGCAGAAAAGTGAAAATGAAAGAAAGAAAGAACAAAGTAGAATATCAATTACAGACAAAAAAGAACGAAAAGAAAGATAAAAAGAAATGAAAAGAAAAAGTGATTAGGGGGAAAATAATAAAATTTATAGAAAACTGAAAAACGTTCTAACGTTGTTACAATTTTACAGACAATTTTAAAAAGTATGAGAAAACATTAGAATATTATTTTGATAGTGAGTTCAATGAAATTTGAAATGGATTAAAGAAATGGAAAGAAAATTATGCAAAACCATATTTGAAAATTCTTAATGCGAAAAGAAAGAAAGTTAACTTTCTGTGAAAACTTAAATTTATAACGAGAATTAGCGGCAGTTTTCGATTGTAGAACACGTTATTCTCGTTCTGTGACTGTCATATTGCTTAGACGCTTGCACGTCAAGAAATGCACATGGCTTTTTTTCCCGCGGGTTTAATCTTTCTACGAGTGACTGGGGATTGACAAGTTTTGAGTGCAATTAGGCAAGAAGCGACAATTTACGTGCTAATATAATTACGTCATCTAGATTTCAGTTTTAACCACAAATAGAGTCAGTCGCCAAAATTGAAAACTGACGCAGATAAAGAGGAAAGTAAGTAAGAAGATAATTAAACAAAGAAAGAAACGAAATGCATTTATTTTATGAAAAACTGGTTTTACCATTAAATAAGACTGAAAGCAACAAAGATGTTGATAGATGATATGGATTACTAAAAATAATTTCTATAGATTTAGTGGTATGAGAAAATATGCAAATAGAATAGAGGAATAGAGATTACAGGAATAGAGGAATGAAACGGTGGAAAAGATAAAGAAGTTTATCGGGGAGGGAAATGAGGTAGAGGAAAAATGGCGGAGAATCATATGATGAAGTGGAACTGAGACGAAATCAATACTGGCGAATAAGAAGGAAGGAAAATGATAATGAATAAAAGGGAAAAAACGAAGGAAATCTAATAATAAAGTTAAGAGGAAGAAAAATGAAATAAATGAGTAAAAAGAAAAGGGTGAAAAGAATAAGCGAAGTAATACGATTTACAGAAAGTCAAGGGAAAAAATATAGAAAAAGAAAGAAAGGAATAAAAAAAGAGAACAGAATAAAATTTATAGAAAAGCAAAGAAAAACCGAACGAAAGAATGCACAATAAAAAGAAATAAATAAAAAAATTAGAATTGAAAAGGAGTAAAATAATGAAATTTACAGAAAAAAACCAACAAAAATATAGATGAAAAAAAAGAAAGAAACGTATAAAAAAAAGAACGTGGAAAAGCAAAGTACGAACGAAAGAAAGAACAAAAGAAAGCACAAAACAGAAAAAGAGGAAATAAATAAAAAGGAAAAAGATGAAATATAATAGAATTTATAGAAAAAGGAAGGCATAAAAATAAAGAAGGGAAAAATGAGTAAATAATAACATTTATAGAAAAGGAAAGAAAACAGAAAGAACAACGTAGAATCAAATTTATAGACAAACGCAGAATCAAAAGAAATACAATAAGAAATGAAAAAGAAAAGTGAATAAGAGGAACATAATGAAATTTATAGAAAATCAAGTAAAATGAAATTAATATAAAGAAAGGAGAATAATACAACTGATATAAAAGGATGAAAGAAAGAAAGAACAAATGAACAAATTAAAGAAAGAAAGAAGTAAGGAAGAAAAAAGGAAAGAAAGATGTGAAAAAAGGAGGAAAAATGTTTGTTTTAAGCAAATCAGAGAACGATAAAATGAAATAAAGAAGGAGAAAGTAGAAATTTATAGAAGAAATGATGAAAGAAAAAACCAAAAAGAAGAAAAGAGGATAAAAGTAAGAGATTTAAAGGAAAAAATTATTAAACTAAGAAAAAATAAAAAGAAGCTAGGAGAAAAAAAACGAGGGAAAATGTAATAAATTCATAAAAGAGAAAATGATAAACTATCAAAGAAAGAAAGAAAGAAAAAAAGAAAGAAACAAAGAAAGAAAGACATTAGAAATCTGAATGAATAGAAAGAAAGAAAGAAAAGAAAAGAAAATAATGAATGAAAAAGAAAACAGTAGTTGATATAGAGTAAAGTATTATATTAAAAAAAATAGAAAAAATATTAAATAAAGAATGAAAAAAGAAAGAAAGAGGGTTAAGAGGGAAAAAGTAATAAGGCAAAAAGAGAAAATAATAAAAAGAACGAAAAAAATAAATATAAAAAAAAAAATGATAAACAAAAGAAAGAAAGAAAAGAAAAAAAAAGAAACAAAGAAAGAAAGACATTAGAAATCTGAAAAATTGAAAGAAAGAAAGAAAAGAAAAACAGAATAAAAAGAAAACAGGTTGATATAAGGAAAAGTATTATATTAAAAAAATAGAAAAAATATTAAATAAAGAATGAAAAAAGAAAGAAAGAGGGTTAAGAGGGAAAAAGTAATAAGGCAAAAAGAGAAAATAATAAAATATAAAAAAAAACAAAGAAAGAAAGAAAGAAAGAAAGAAAGAAAGAAAGATCAAAATTGAATAAAGAACGAAAAAACAGTAGGAGATATAAGGAAAAGTAATATATTAAAAGAAAGAGGAAAAAACTATTAATAGAAGAAAGAAAGAAAGAAAGAAAGAAAGAAAGAACAAAACCAAAAAGATGGGTAAAGATGAAAAGTAAAAAATAAAAAAGAATTAGTAAACTAAGAAAGAGAAAAAGAAAGAAAGAAGATGGAAGAAAAGTGAACAGATGTATGACAATATGAAAATAAGACGAATTGAAGAAAACCAAATTCAGAAAGACATAAAGAATTAAAAAATATATAAAAATAATATAACTATTAAACAACTGTGATTGGATTATGTGTGCTTCACAAATGCGTTTTATACTTAATCTAAGCTTCGACTTAGTAAAAGCTTTTGTTGCAAGTTTCAAATGCTGATTCACTTTAATACTCGGGTTTAGAGGATGAAGTGGAACGAGTTGCATATAAATAATTCCAGGGTGACTAATTTCCAAAAGCGTCTTTCTGAAAAAGAAAAGCATCAGACTTAGCTTTCACATTATTAAATACATTTCTATCTGCGCAGATCAATGTAACCATATTCTGTCCCAAACATCGAATAATAAACATCTTGCTCAAATATTTGAGGATTTAATACTATGATATTGTTTAGGGATTTCATCATTCCATAACGCTAATTACGGCTAGCAGTATTCAAGTTGGAAACTGTAAAGATCTATCCTTCACGGCACTGTCGCTTATGGCCGTTGGGTTAATATTTTCAATCTATTTTCGCCTTATCTCACATTCAATATGCTAATGTCGTTTCTGCAAGAACAAGTAGCTCGAAGCTGAAAAACTTTATCTAAAGATTGGATCTCATTTTGAAATGTTAATTTGAAATGTAAGTTTGTTGAGTAAAATTGTCTTTTCATCTTTTATGTGCCGTGTCCCTTAAGGACGTATGCGATCATGACTCTCCACAATTTCCTATACTTTCTAGCTCTAAGCAATATTTGTCTCCTTACTGCTCCTCCCAATTCCTCTTCTCTTATATATTCACAGAAGCTCGTTAGGTAGCTTACTCGATATCTCCCTCTCCTGATCTTGCCTTCAGTATGCCATTTGTGTCAAATTCTTCAAACCCTATTTAATCATTATGTATATCAAAAAATCCAACTGCCTTTCTGATTCTAAGTGTATGTGACTTTTTGTCTTTTCATTTTCCTTAAAAATACCTTGTTGATCACATTTCGTCCATTTATTCCCAGTATCCTTCTATAGAACGGCATATTTATTGCTTCTTCTTTATCTGTGCGGAAACTGTCCCGTATTGTCTGCCATATAGGTGGATTGATATTACACTGCAGTTCAGCACTCTCTTAGATTTTAACGAAATTTTCCTGCTTCTTAATACTTTGTTTAACTTTTAGAAAGCATTTTTCACTATTCCAATGTGCCTTCAGCTTTCTGTGCCATACTTTCCATCTTTCATAACACTTCTTATATAGTTTGATTCTGACGTCTTCATCTTGTAGCTCTAACATTGAGCTGTTCCTGTCCGTTTTTTTATGCAATCTGTTATACTGGAACATACCTATTCTATTGTTAATAGACTCTCCCACCTATAATAAGTAGTAGTAATAGCAGTCGCTGAGTCGGCAGTGAGTTTGCGAGTCAGTCGATGCCGGACGACCGTTAGTTGGATATTAAAGTATCAACCACCGCAAGTAGATTGCTGCGTCATTAACTATTATGTCAAGTTCCTAACGTTTTGTACGTCGAACCTATTTTAGGACCGACTTAGTGAAATACAAGCCTCCACTGTGAAACTACTCTATAACACAATCGATCGTTGATCTTTTCATTCCTATTCTATTTACTATCTTGTTTTACAGTTCCGATAAATTATTCTTAATTCGATTTATTCAATATTTTTCCTTTTTTCCTTGCTTCTTAATTATTACGCTATTGTTTATCGAATAAAATACCCAATAACCACTCAAAGTAGAAGTTACTAGAGGAGGTTGTTTTTAAGGACACAAGAACTGTAGATTATGGGGATATGTAGGAAAGATTACGATTGATCATGAAGGGGTTAATATTGTAGTGGTCGTGGAAGCATCCTCTCGGGAGTTTACTTTACAAAGTATTGACGCTTAGAAAGGAATTTTCCAAATGGTACTTCCAATGGGATATCAAGGTAATGAAGAATGGTTCGCCCATGTGTACATGGCATGACGGGTGCTAGCTGTAAAAGTCTCAACTGGCGGAACTAGGGACCATTTTCCATGGAATTAGGAATAGAATAGCGAGAATCTTGTGACGTCGCCCCTGTCGGTAAGTTGTTGTAATTCATCACTCAAATGGTCATGTAAACGTTTTTGAACACTGTCAGAGCTGGAAGGGGAGGATTGGGCAGCAATACTCCATTTTTGGTCTGATCTAACTCTTGTAACGATAACTATAGGTAAATAGCAGGACTTACTGGGCTCTGTAAACTTGGCTGGCAACCAGTCTCGGAAAAGGAAAGATATGCATTCAAACCAGACAATGGAGGATTAGGCTCCATCCGGCTAACTTGTACCACTGCTGCTACGGTTGTAGTACGCATGGTGTCCCTACGACCCTAATGGGTTACGCGATTCGTGATAGAGATTGGGATTTAACTCTTGTAAATAAAGAAGTTTCATTAAGACGGATTATATATAATGGTGTTTCATTAAGACGGATCAAAATCAACAGTAAATAAATCAGTGTTAATGGTGAAAATTTATTTATTTCTCTATTGGATCATATTATTTAATTTATGGCAATTATGTGTGAAAAATAATATCGCCCAAATATCCGCCAAATCTGAAAGAAAAAGAAAAAAAATTAGAAACATTAGACGCTTAAATTTAATTCACGTTAAAATCGGTCCAAGTTTTTGGAACACCCTTTATAAAGCATGGCGGGTGGAGTCCGGTACTTTCTAGCCCTGCATAAAGATCTGGAAATATATCTCTTCGATGCAAGTATTAACAATATTTCTATTCTTTTTAAATATAGCATAAGCAAAATAATTATTGCATCATTTATAATTAGTTCTATTTTCAGTTTTAATTTAATTAAAATTTTACGACAAATGTGTTTCCTCTGACTATAATATTCATCACATTTGCAATAACTGTTATTATTGTTTGCGTTCGTGATATTTTCGTTTTCTACTGGAGATTTTTCAATATGGGTGTTCGTCATCAAGTCGTACGTTCTCAAAGAGATAGTACCTTTTGCAGAATATTTGCAGTACCAGTCAACGCAGACTTCTGAAGCAATGGGAAAGTAAGCTTTATTCCGATTTTCTTAATTTATAAAAATTCACTGATGTAGAGCCAAGCGCCCAAATGATAACCGGGAAAATATTCTGGCAACTTCAGTTTGATAATCAGTGTATTTTTTATTTTATTTTTTTTTTACTAATTTTCATCCAATACAAACCTCAAGAGCCACTTCAGGTAGACAGTTACTGAATGTTATGCTTGGTATGGACGTAAGAAGGCGAAGTAGGAAGTGAAGATTATGAGGATATGGGGGAGAGATAACGATTGGAGCTGGACTTGAAGAGGTTATGATTGTAGTGTTCGAAGAAGCATCAAACGCAGAAGTCTGTTCCAAAAAAGTATTATTTATTGGGAAGAAGTTTCTTTCTTACAAATGGAACACGGAGAGAATGTGGGTGATTTTCTGACTCTTGAAGTAGACATATCTGTTCAGTTTCGTATGTTAACCTAAACAAAGTACCGTCCTGGGTATGACGATAAACTACATCCGCGTCCAGGGGAAGACGATAAACTACGTCCAACAGCAAGGCCTCTGATCAGGAGGTTTTGAGGAGCGTGGAACCACCTCTTAATTGCTGGTGTTCCCAGGTCCAGTCTGACCCGGGATGGTAGCACCTGTTAGGGTCCCAGCTATGGGCAAATAGTTAACACTCAAACTGAGGTAAAAACCATTAAGTAAGTGTAAAAATAGTTTTAACACCAGAAATACTTTGTAAAAAATTATTAACAGACAAATTTTTGAAGGAAAAAAAAAAATAGTACCAGCAAACCATTTTGGGAAAAAATATTACCAGCAATGCATTTTTTAAAATAATATTACCAGCTATACATTTTTTGAGGAAAAAAAATGACCAGAAATAGATTTTTGACAAAACAAAATATTACCAGGAAAAAAAGTTGTCGGCATTAAATAACCTATTGAGTTTGATATTCCGTAAAACAAACCAAATCAAACCAAGTCAGTAAGTTAAAAAAAAAAAAAAAAAAAAAAAAAAAAAAAAAAAAACTTTTTACGAAAATAAACCATCCAAGATTGTAAATTTCCTAAAAAAATTGGATTGTACTCAAAAATATGAGTAATTGAAAAATGGTTCAAATATATATGTATACATTACCAAATTTTCGCTATGAATCTATTTCAAAATTTTGTTGGCATTAAATGACCAACTGAAGTTGATATGCCATAAAACAAAACCACCTACCAACCTAAACAAAACAATTTGTAAGGAAAGTGATGGATTTTTTATTTATTAGTCCAACAAATTTGTATTATTTAAACGTTATTTTTAGTGGATACTCGTTGATTTTAGACGATCTGTTTATTTATTAAACAGTATATTTACTTATTTTCGTCTACCGGCCTGAATATTCGAGAAATCTTTCATTAGAACTAACGTGCTTTGACCTCTGGACTACAGAGTGTTTCGATAACTAATTTGAAAAGTGCCTTTAAACACACATTTGTCAGGAAAAAGATAGATTCTTATTACTTAAACGTTAGTTTAAGTGGATACTCGTATTTGAATAGATGCTCCGTTTATTTATTATATACACTTAGAATCAGAAAGGCATTTTCCTGTTTCTCTGTCAACGACGATTATGTTTGGTTTGCTGGTCTCAAGAATCTGTTTGGATAACATTATTATTATTATTATTATTATTATTATTATTCGGACGTTTATCCAGCGTATGAATTTGCAACATTAAATTCGTAGTTAGAAACGTAATTATCAGTTGAATTTTGATCTGAAATTTTCACGCAACTTATGTGATGTATGTTTACTACGGAATTAAGTCCATCTAGCTGTCCGTTCATATCTATCTATCTATCTATCTATCTATCTATCTATCTATCTATCTATCTATCTCTTCCAGATTGTATATATATATATATATATATATATATATATATATATATATATATAGCTCTCTACGACATCGCCCCAATAGAAATACTATACTTATTATTTTAATATATTGACCCATGCCATCAGAGGAGGACTGTTTGTTGTAGTTAATCCAATAACACATATCTTACTGCTTTATTACAGATAGAAATTGGCAAAATGGCTTCTGATACGAACTTGCCTACGAAGCAGAGGAATCTTATTGAATTCCTCCATGCGTAAAATTTTGTCCCAGCTGACATTCATTGACGCTTGATGAACGTTTACAGAAAATAAACAGTGGATGTGAACACAGGCGGTGGGTAACGCATT